ATTCAGAAATTGTTATCATTTTAGAAAAAAGCTAAAAAATACGAAAATAGTGATAATGCATATTGAACTTAGCAAAGGTCTATGATGCGAAATTAAAACTGAGACCTTTGCTAGTGTTGGGTTGCGATAAAGCGCTGATGAACTTGATCAGTTCTTCATATCTGATATAGAACTGATTAATAAAACATCAGTACTTTATCGGATATAAAGGCCCATCATGTGACCCAATAGTTCGATAGCTCATGAATTATTAATGAGTTCTAGAAGACGGGATTCAGACTTCTGAGACACCACTGCCTAACCTATAGTTCTTTTGGATTCACGAATAACCACATGTGTGTACATATAAGCAGCTTCTCTGTGTGTAAATTTATGAGAGCCGGTCTTCTATATGCAATTCAGAGCCCGTCAATTTACATTCATATTTGGAAGTACAACAGAAATTACTCACTCACTGCTTGTTTAACTTCTGACACTTCACGACCGTTTTACTTGTGTTAAATGAGATGTCATTTTTTTCTGTACAAAGTCGGCATAGCAGCAGCAGCAGTGCAACTTATTGAGTCTTAAATCATGTCTCAAAGTATAAATGTTTATTAATTTTGTTTGTTTTGCTTTGCCATTGGTATTATTTTGTGTTCTTTATTATTCAATGGTCGTTTTTATTTTGATCCTACTGCCTAGCCATTCAGAACCGATTGGAATGGTTCCTCTTAGTATCAGCACAAAACGCCAAACTGACATCGTATAGAGTGAAATAATTACAAGTCCAAGGAATGAAAACATCCTAAATTTGGTCCTCTATTAACAAGGCAGTAGCATGTGAAATAGACAATATTACCTACAATAATCCGAACGCGATCGACGGTGTATTTTAAGCGAACGGACTTCCACTGCATCGACCGTATTAAGTAAAACCGCTATTTAAGCGAAACCACGCTGTAGAATGAGATCCTTCGTTCGGTTGCCTTGTCCTTTAAAAAAAAATCGTTTGTTGTGATGGAACATGACATATTAAGGAGAGTGACATTTCACCCGTAGCTTAAGAAATGATTAATCTTGACCAATCAGTCTTATTTTAAGGATGAAGAAATTAATGCAATTTCTTACTCTTATATTCAGAACAGTACAAGAAATGTCGCGATTGTGAAATTGATAGGTAAATTGTACTAAATGATGCTAAATAATTTGTTTTTTTTATGGTCACAAAATGAAAAACAAACTTGTTGCTTCAGATAAGTAACACTATTTAGGAGCAATTCACACTAGCTATATCACAACATAATTCAGTCGTACTTGGCATTATTTAACTTGTTAACTATTTCACGCTTTTAGTATTTGGACTCTACTCTTTGCACTATGATGATTATAGTCACCAAACAATACACCCGCACATACACAAATTTTCCGGCAACGATCAGTTTATTTCCAAGTAATTTTGAGTGAGTTGAATGGGGTTCTGCTTCAATTTATGTGCACTATATGCATGTGTTTGTGTAGATACCCCAAACATACAAGAGAACTGATCTCATGGTTCAATGGTTAGGTGGTTTAGGGGTATAAAGGGTTAGGCAAGAGGTAGCGCAGAGTACGAATCTACATGCTCTTTATTAAATTTTTTTCAGTTTAAGTTTTTGAAAATTTGGCAAGTTTTTATCTACATAATATTTACCGAAAGACCGAATTAGCTGACGGCACAACTCTCGCCCACAACCATCGCATACATCATGCATAAGTCATCCATACAACATAGCTACAACTGTCGTGGGGATTTACAACAATTGCCTAATTGCCCTACAACATTTGTAGCCACCGTGTAAGGACTACGTGTTGAAGGCTATAATACTGAACAATATTGTATTGGAGAAGGAGTTGCCGTACGACTTCTCCATGTATTATTGTAAGCAAAAGTTGTGTCATCTAAATCGGCCTTCATACATCAGTTACCCTGTATAAGTACAGACAAAATGCTCGTTTTTAATCATTACCACGAGATTCAAAAGAACGGCGGCCATGTTGTTTAATGAACAATAGATATACTAATGAGAAATCAACTGTTGAAAATCAACAGGGGTATCAGTGTTGCAAAGGAGCAATATGGTGGTCATACGGCAAATCCATTCTCCGAATGTATGAGCTAGTAAATGTATAAGCATTTAAGTCTTAGCGTCACAGATAAGCTGAATCAATGGCCGAGTACAAAATGAACTTCTGGACATTAGATAGCAATGATGCATCATACATTTTCATTCAGTCATTGATTTTTGTTATTTACTATGTAAAAATTTGTTTTGTGGTGGATAAAATTGTCGAATTGTGGAAAAATACGTTGATTGCCGATAAAATTTATGATAACTATTTCTCGAAGACATGCATATTTATTAGAATTTTTGGATATAATAGTGATTGACATTAGTTGTTTTAAATCGAATTAGTCGAATGCGTAGTTTTTTGACGCAAAATTACAAAAGCCTTCAAGCTAAACTTTGCAATTTCAGTTTTACATAACATTTTTTTTCTAAATTTTCTCTTCGATTCAGGCTGATTCTAACTTGATATCCAATTCTAGCAACATCTGTCGTGAAAGAATAACCATTTTATTCCCTATGTCTTTATATGTTGGCATTACTTACCAAAAAAAATTAATGACTCAATAAACCAGCAAATGAACAAGCAAATAAAGATGTACATGCATACAGTGTATGATATCAACCATCATAATAGTACTTTTGATTAAATTATTACAAATGTCCAAGTTTGCATCTGGTGGATTTGGGTTCAGCACTCATTAGCGATAATCAAAATTTATAAAAGCTTTCTTGTTTTACGGATATTCAGTGATATTCTTGTAAATTCATGATCGTATCTTATTAACCAAAAATGTAACGGTAAAATTGTAATTGTTTTTCTGATATGACAAGATGGTTTTTCAACGTTTAACTTTATATGTTTGTTCCAGAAATTGAACCGATTACTTTCCAACATTGGGGAGATGTACTGAAGGGAACTATATTGTGTGCAAGTCTTATATGCTTGACGTATTATAGACCTGTACGGCATTACACATATCAGTTCATATAGCATTTTAGCTGACAAATAAAAATAATTGTTGTTTCCCTTGGGATAAAGTCTATCAGTCTTTCTATGATTCCTAGGTTCAAAGACATGTTTTAGAAAACTAATATTTTAATTGGTAAGATGCGACAGACATAGAATTGTCAAACCTAGTGAATATTAATCTCACGGTATGTCATGGGATCATAATTATGATGTATTTTGTAGTTAACAGGTGGTTCAGTGTTTTACTTCAACAGACCTCATTAACTCTCCCTGCCAGGATAACCTCTCACTTGTCTCAATGGAAGATCACGGATAGAGCATCTGTGAAAGTCTGAAGCAATTCAACGGTTTACCTACTCTCATGTACTCAAGGTAAAAAATACAATCATGTACAACAACTATGTTTACGTTCGTAATGTCTTTGTCTATCAAAGACACATTGTGTTTGTAATGGATAATGATCATTAAGAGTTGTTCCCGATGGTATAAGCTTTAATCATCAATATAATCAGCCTTTATATGTTTCTTTTTATATATATTTCTGACTCTTGCTTGCAAATATTTTTTACAAATGACATCACCGTCATGTTAAACTTTTTTAAATCGGCTTTGCAATTTGCATTCGAGCTGTGATGAGTGTCCTTGGTATAGACTAGTTCATTAGAACATCGTATGCTATTTCAGAGTTTACCCAGTAGACGAGCTAAGAGAAAACTGGTAGCTTAGTTGGTAGAGAAACGGACTATTCCGTGTTGGAACTGACTTCAAATTCTGGTCGGACCAATGCGCAAGATCTTGAAATTATTGCCAACTGCTATTTGTAACTATAACATACGCTTTTTGTTTGTTGTTGTTGTTGTTGTTGTTGTTTTTACAAGGTGATGAGTTCAAAGATGAATTAAGTGAATGATGAATATAAATCTTTGAGTATTTGTCGTTGAATCTAAAACAAACCATATGATATTTGATTTTGTTTTCAATGTTTGCCTTTTGCGTTTCGCTGAAAATTCTATATGATCTTTTTTTGGAACATGAAATATAGGCCAGCTCCGGGAACTAAATTCACACTGAATTGAACTGATGGGGAGGGGACGGACCTGCAAACAATAAACTTGGTGAAAAAGTGATACTTAACCAAATAGTGCCAACTATTAGCGCATTTAAGGGTAGATTGGATAACGCGCAAAGACCTGACCAAACACAAATGAAAGCACCAGAAAATTTCATTATTACAATAGCCTTGAAAATTTGCATTTTCCTTGAGTTGAGACTAACCTGTATTACCATAAGACCTAAGGTATGATCCTTCTAGGAATACAGGGTTAGCCTCAACTCGGGGAAAATGTAAATTGTTAGCGTTATTGTATTAACAGCATTTTCTGGTGTTTTCTTTTATCTTTGGTGAGGTTTTTGAGTAAGAAAATCTGCTAAATAAAACAGCAGTTATTCGCTTCGAATTCGAAAATGGAGAAAATGGAGTATTCAGTGCAGTACAATTTAGCACTTTTTTTAAGTTTTTCATGGTTTTACTGGGTGCTCTCTRTTCTCCAAGTGCTGAGTAACTTATGTTAGGCAAAAAACGAAAAAACACTTATGTACAATAACAGCTGCTTCGTTGCAAACCGTGTTTTATTTTTTATTTTTTAATGTTTTATTAGCCARCAGATTAAGTGACCTGTGTTTTTACAGTCTACACTAAGTCAAGAATTAATACATTGATCTAAGATTTAATTCCAGCAATTTTTTATCTCTTTTTATAGAACATGAGGCCGTGGATTTGCATTTTAATTCTCGACGTTCTTCTCACGCTCTATGCAGCTTCCGTGTCAGGTAAATACATACAATCTTTAATTAAATACCCTGTTCTTTTTTTATTAAATTCCAATCTACGATATGTATGTTTGTTTGTTGCATCCGCTCGGAATAGTTCTACAGCTAACTTCACGAAGCACTTTTTTTGTACTATTTAAGCTAAGTGTTATAAATGAAGTATTTTTGTTGTTGCTGCTGTTGTTGATGTTGTTGTTGTTGTTGTTGTTGATGTTGTTATTACCGTTCGGTTTATAATTATGATCTGCAATAATCAGGATTCTGATGACATAGCAACTCATTGTTCTGGAATTTGATTGGCCTTAAGCAATGTCTTGATCATTAGAAATCAGCAATGAACAGAAATGTTCTATATGATCTACATGATAAGTATTTAGGGACTGTGCAATAATTACCTGGAGGGGGGGCCGTAAAACCCGAGGGGAGCATAA